GTCTATCCTGTACATCGTCTGTGGTTTGATCTGTACTCAATTACAATTACCGATAAAGTAGGTGAAATATTAAACTTCTTAATACAGAGATTTCGTTATTGTACTGTTATATGTCAGCCAAAGCAGGAACAACCTAAATGTTAAAAATGCGACAATCATTAAAGGATAAATATCTTATTTGTTTCAAATAACTGTGCTTATTTATCAAGCACATAAACACATGTAAGTGAATATAAATACTTGGAAATTGATAAAATGATTTTAATAAAAAACTGTAACATATTTTTTAAAAACACAGTCACATGCAGTACTAGTTATTATTCACGAAATTTGATATTTTTTTTGTCTAAGTCATGTAGAGAGTATGTTACATCTTCAAACTGCATAACAAAAGTGTATATATACAAATTCAGTTCAAACCATGTTAGAAACTGGAGTGGCAGAAGTAATATTGAAGACTTTCATACTAAAATAATGAAGCTAAACAAAAGTATTGATAATAAGCATGTAAATCTAAATATCCTAACAGCAGTCATTGAAGATATGGAAAATAATAATTTCAATATATCACAAACATTAAGTATAATGCTACTTCATTGCTGTGGAAAGGCATTATATAATGAACCATTGAAAATACGGCAGGAATTAGTAAATCGTATCTGGAATCTTTTAAAAGCAAAAGAATACAAATTAACAATAGATCACTATCATGCCTTGTTACAAACTTACATAGATAACGATTACACTATTGATTCAAATCAATTTCTACAAAATATGACTATTTTCCCTGAGTATGATACTTATTGTCTGTTATTACAAGTTCCAAGCACAGATAATTGTGCATTTGCTGATAGTATTCTATTAAAAATACAGCAAAATACATTGCCTGCTGACAAAAAAATTTATAATGCATTAATGTACGCATATGCAATAAATGGAGATATAGAAGAAGTCCACAAAATTATAGAACTGGTGCAAAAAGAAACCATTGAACCATTATCTGCAGTAAATGATATATATTTAATGTATGCTTTAGCAAAAAATGGAGATAATAAAACACTAATTAAAACCTTAAAAAATACCAAGTTATCTATATCAGATATGCTAAAGCTTGTTAAACTTCTTAGTTTATCAAAAAATGATTTATGCATAAAAGGTATTTTAAAGTGTGCACAATCATTAGTCACAGAAGAAGAAGAAGTTTGTTCTGCTATTACACTGCTTGTACATGCAGGGCACATTATGGATGCATATAAAATAGCTGCTTATATACCTATAAACACTGAATTTCAAAATATCAGAAAAATATTAGTACTTTGTCTGTTTAAACAAGTTATTAAACTTAACGTAGACCCAGAAACTATATTAAAACTTGTACATAATTTCAAAACAAAAGATTTTACTTTAGACATTTGGGCAATAGTAAATCAGTGTGCATTAGAAGAAAATAATGACACATTAACTTTTAGAATACTTGATGAAATGAAAGCAATGGGTATTATTATCAATTTTGATCATGTTAGGCCTTTATGTTTACATATGCAGAAATGTAATAATGAAACTGACATATATTCAATTATCAGAAAAATGATTGCTTTAAATAATACAATAAACTCTGACATGATATTTTTAAATTATGTGTTTCCTGTTATTAATACCAGGGATCCTATTGCTGCAATTTTAAAAATGCAAGAACATGGTATAGCTCCTAGTTGTACAGTACAGCCCTTTGTAACATTTCTGTTAAGTGCATGCAGGCTAAAAGAATGCATCCATGTCTGTTCTTTCTTTAAGCAAAAAATATATTGTCAGAAAATAATAGAATCTTTGTTCGTTAATTATAAAACATCAAACGATATTAGTTCTTGTATACGTCTCATATTTAAGTTATCCTATGATGGCTGTGATTTTGCTGGAACATTTATTAGAAATATGATAAATAAATCCCAATTACAAAAGATTAATACAAAACATTTAAATTTGTTTTTAATGGCAACCAAAAATAGTAAAACAGTTCTATCTCCTACTGAAGCAGATTATATAAAAACGAAAATTTTGGTTAGTAATACTGATGAAAAACTTAAAAATAATATGTTTAGGTTGATTTCTGACATCTGCCCAGTAGGTATCAATACCAAAGAAAATTGCAAGATTGATTTATACATTAATCCGCAATACATGAATTCAGAACAATTATATCTTCATTTTCATGAACTTAAAAATGATAATAAAAATTTTCGAGGAATTGCGCGAAAGTTACTTATGGTTTCCTGTAAGGAAAATAATGTAAAAGTAGTAGAAGAACTTCTAGAAAATATCAAATATAATAATTTTGAATGGACACCAGGAATGAAGATGTGTTTGTTAGATTTTTACGTAAAACGTGGAATGATTGAAGAAGCCTTACACACAGTAGATGAAATTCAGTGTCAGTTTCAACACAGTATAATTGATAATTGTAAAATTCTAGAACTTGTGATGCAGTTAGTTAAATTAAATAAAGTGAATGAAGCTTGTAATGTAATACAGAAGTGTAAGCATATTAATCACAAACCAAGTGTACAAGTACTGATTAAGGATTTGTTTAATTTACTAGTAAACAATCATCCTAATGATATTAGAAAGATGATGAATCTTCTTTTTGAAAGAGGTTACTGGAGAAATCACGAATTAGAATATTTAATTTTGGCTCAAATATTGGAAAATAATACAGATGTAGTTGTAAATACATTCATACACAGTGTTAAGAAATATAAAAAAATGCCCGTACCGACAAAAATTTTAATAGAATTAACAAAGCTAACTTCAGATTCATCTTCAAAGTATAATTATATGTTACAAAAAAT